GTATTATAAAGGAAAATCTACCTCCAGAAGATAAGTTAGCCGCGCATTTTCAAGCCCGTTTCCGAGCTGTTGCTGCTTCCAAATGAAAACTAAGTAGTTGATTACTCATGTCTTGCTATTGAATAAGAAATTCAGTAAATCTGTAACAAATGAGAGTGTGATTCTTAAATGTTCTGTCGCTATTTTATGTTTGAATGTAAAAAGAATTATTGTCTCGTGTGAAAGATAGCTATGCACATAAATATTTTTACGATTACGTGATTGATATCGTTATTGAATTCAACTCAAAGTATCAATACTAACCCACTTGTTACAATATTGCATATTCGATTGAGTAGATGTTAAGAAAACGGAGCTTTCGAAATACTCAACTTAGTACTCATTGATGCTTGAGAATTGACACTTGTATTCTTTATTCATGTCTGAGTCTCAGTTAAAAAAAGTGGGNTTTTAATGTTAGTGCCAATGGCTTGTGTTTTTATAAAGAGTTTATACAATATCTAGGGATTTAGACTAACCAACCTTTCATCACATGAATCTTACCTAACCTAATACTGTCATATGTAACCTAAAATAAAAATAAAATAAAATTATGCCTAAATAGAATTTGAATTATTATCCTTATAAAAACACAAGTGATCTCTTATGGTCAAATCATGTTATGGATACTTTAAATTTATTCCATGCCATGCCATTATCCTCAATAATTAAAGACTTCCCTCCATTTTTTATTGAATTTCAACTGCAATTTTACATCAAATCAATGCTGAAAATGAAGAAGATTGCAGAGATCACCCCTATGAATGGTAGTTAAATAGAGTTGGAAATTGCCAATGAATGGTAGTTAAATAAAAGGGTTTTAGCATCGAAATTCAACTTCATATTCCTGCTCAAAGAGAATCGTGAACAACAAATGAAAGGAACATTCAATACTTAAGGCTTCTATTTTGGAAATTCGTGGCAAGTTATAGAGCAATTTGTAGCACATAGGCTTTACAAACAAATGTAATTTTGCTGACGGCGATCACACTATGTAGCACAAAATGACCAAGGGCAGAGCCAGTAATTCACGTTGTGGGAGGCAAAAAGATTTCTCTCCCTAATTCTTTCTTTTACAATGTAGAAACCAAAAAAAATTCAAAAAGTTAATTCAAAAAATGCTATAACGCACATTCTCTATATGCATTCAACAACTTAAAATTGCAGTAGGAAATATCAAATCAAATACTGCAAGGTACTCAAAGAAAATGGAAAAATACGTAATTTTAGACTATATATATTGTACGAGCACTAAAAATTTACACTACAATTCACATCACATAAAAGGCATCAAAGGACAAACATCAAATGTAAAAAACAATTAGCAAAAACAAGTTAACAACCTTTATTTACTCTAATAACAAGAATGACAAGAATTGAACAAACAATTTCCTTACAGTTTCTTTCCTTTACATGCATGTATTAAATACTTCTACTCTATAACTGTTCAAACAAATGAAAATTCTTAACAATATTTCATCTTTTCACTTCCTATGCAACCATCCCAAGTCCAACCACATTATTCACACGCAAAAGTAACAAAACCCTCACATAATTTAGGCATTAATAGATCACAAATTCACAGCAAGTGCACGCCCAAATACTAATGCGGCTTTCGTTATACTTTTCTCACTGAAAAGCGCAATGTAACGGACACATTACAATGAATAGATATTATTAGTGGTAATACTTTTGGCAATCTTTGACAACCATTGAAATGTCAACGTCCCAGAGGAAACGAGGAGCAACAGGTAACATCGAATCAACATAGAATTTTTTAAATCCCTCGAGAATTCTAGGGTAAGATTTTAAGGTTATAGGGCAATTTCTCTGCAAATACAGTTTAGTGGAATTTTGACTTGGGCTTAAAACTAAAACAAAACATTTACTTGAGAGATTGGTGGGATGGCTAAGTGCTCTTGGACTGATGGTGGGCTATTGCTGGGCTAATAGGCTAAATTTCATTTTTCTTTTTGGGCAATTATTTTGGATATGGGCTTGGGCAGCGCCGCCACCCCCCAGCCACATCCGCCCCAGAAAATGACAATACAAACCAACATAACAAATGGATAGTATCATCAATAAAACACTACATCATCACATAAAAGTAGAAGCAATGGATAGTTTTTCTAGAGGGCATCAAAGTTGCACTCCTCGTAAACAATTTGCAGCCGCAAAAAAATACCAATGTTACTTCATAACTCGAAAAAAAAAATGTAGATAGAGGGCCTAATTTTCACGAGGAAATTCGAGGAAACCATGCTTTTAAATTTCCCTCATAAAAAATTAAGTAATACCTTTTCTTATTCACAATTATGTATTAAAAATAAATAAGTAATTTAAATATATTTTTAGCATTTGATTTTTCATTTCAAAGAATCCCTATAATTTCATATGCTTTTCCCACCGTCTTCACCATATTCGCTCGATATGTGGTGAGAGAAATTTCATCTTTATCATTAAGAATTGGGAGCGGCAATTTTCATTCACCATTCCTACGTATGTATCTCACTCTAAATACATCCCAACATTATTCTTATTAGATTCATTCATTTAAATATTATGCCCCTGTTTGTTTCCTATTGTTTTAACCTAAAAATAGATTTTTTTTTTTTTTTTTTTAACCATTTTTTTCAAAGCATTGCGCCCACTATGAGAGAAAGAGGTCAAAGATTGCGATTTTTTTACTGTAGCAATGGTCAAAATTTTTATTTTTAGTGAAAACAAACAGGCTGTATATATTCACACTATTTTTATATAATTTTCACATTCTAAATCTATCATTTTTTTTTTTTTTGATAAAATAACAATATCATTGATCATCAGAGTAGCAAACGGATACAAAGAGGATTAACCTCCAACACAGTGCCCTCCTAAGAGAGTTTAAGTGCTTCCTATGCCTAAGCATGAGCTACCACAACAACCAAACAAGTCCCAAAGACAAACAAAGAAAAGAAAAACCAAACAAAGCCCTATCCTACTCCAACCGAAGCCACGGCCTCAATCCAGCAGTGAGCGAAAAGGAAGACAATGACCAATCCTGGAGCCAGATAAATCCCGGCAAAAGCAACCGGACGGACAAAATAGGCCGTGAACAGGTCACGCCTGCACCGACCACAAAGCCACCCCAAGCCGGAACACACCCTGCCCCAACCAAAGAACTCGCCATCCGAAAACACCTAAAACACCAAGCCCAAACACGAACCAACGCCATGTATAGCAACTGAAGCATACAGGCAGCGCCACCACCAAACAAAACCTCACAGACAAGGAGTCAGGAGGACAAAACTAGGATTCCAAAG